ACCTAATTTTCGAGTAGCAATGCAAAAAAAATAATTTGTTAATTTTCAATTTAAAACAAGTAAGCAAAGGCTGTAGTCGTGCGGGGCCTACCATGTGATTCCCTACAACACTACAATATGTTGGAAGCCCCTTTATGTCTAAATCCATTTTGGAAGATTTCGCTTTTGCAATTATGTCACGGATGGTTTTGGTTTTTTGGTTCATTTGAACCCCTAAATATTTTGCGATCATCTCCAAAAGCAAGAGGTGTATCTCCAAATCAACATCAACATGATTTGCTTGTCTACAATATTTGATTATATTCGTCAAAGAAATCAGCATAAAAAAGTAGTGGTCCATTCTACCTGCTGTCATAAACTTTAACTTCATGCGAGATTTTGTGTCCTTTGGCTTCTATTTGTGACCATTATAACAGCTGCAAAATCAGGAACATTGCGGGCATCTTTGAAAATAATAGGCCTAGATCTTCTGAGCCTAACCCTACCCTTGTAAATATTTTCATGAGGATCTGACGATAATTGCAGTCTGTATATAATAACCCCAACCTGAGTTGTAAGGCAAAAAAATATTACAAAATATACACTTCAAAATTATAAGTCAAATTGAAAAAATCGCATGCGATAAAAAATATGAAAAAAAATTAAAAATGTCACAAAATACTACAAAATCTATATTAACATCATTATTGACATATTTTTCTGTGATTTTTTTAGATTTTATACTTTTATACGGTTTAATGGAAATTTTGAGTTTTATTTCACACAAATGTTATGGTATATTTCAGCCACTAAATATTATCTGATGACCATACAAATTGGAAGGCTTCTGCCCAGCCCTAAACTCTAGCCCCATTCTAACTTTCGCATCGATTGGTCTATAATTGCGATCTGTAGAGCAACTGCAAATTTTTTTAATTTTAAGTTAAAATTAAGCATTTTATGAATAGTGTTTCAGCGTTTTGAATTATCAAAAAAAAAAGTTACTCCACAGCACCAGTTCAATAGCACGTGGCAAATTTATGTATTCAAATGGTTTCAAAATAGTCCCTGCAAAGTATTTTTTGAATATATTAAAAATGCTTCTGCTTTTGGACACTTGAAAAGAAAACTATAATATATTTTTAACACACACACACCCCTCTTGACTCGGTTTCTTCGAAAATACATTTTGAGTATTGTAATGACATTTAAAAATGTACACGGTCTGTGTATCTTACAATGTCAATGTTTGGCAGCTAACAGTTTTGAACGGTCTAAAAATAGTACCGAACCGAAATGCTACCACATACTGACGAAAGCCTGTGCCGACATTTCTATTTAGTTTTTACCACCAACGCTACCTCATAGCCCCGTGTTCTGCTGTTAGCTCGGCGATGGTGCATCCAAGCCAATATAAACAATATGTGAATGGATCGAAGTGTAAATGTACATTGGTGTTTGTGTACGTGTACAACGATTCGATTTAATACTTGTGAAGGTCTACTACATTCAAAATCAAATAGTATTCACATATTCTATTCATAAATTCTGGTTATTCATAAATATTTAGCTTCCGTAGAAAGTGGCAAAGGACAGAGAGAATGTGGCCGATTTTTGGCAAATGTTTTCATTTTCATTCAAAAATTCTTACCAAACCCAATGTCAAACGAACTATAAACATAGTATAAAAATATTTTTTATGAATATAATAGTGTGTTGTCATCCATTTTTTTTTTTTTCTTCTAAAGTAAGCAATGTTAAATATTGGCACTTCGAAGTTAACAACCAAAAATCGTATCTTTCAGATTATCTACTAAATTTGAAAAAAAAAATGGTTATCCGTTTATACATACTTTCATTCAGTTTTCGCGGTTTTTAAATATTTATTCAAAATCAATGCAACAAGTTATTTGTTTTTTTTTTTTTTTTTTGATTGTTTTGATAGTAATTCTGACACTACAAGCCAAACGGGTAGAGCTCTATACTTGCAATTTTTCCAAAGTTAGCCTACTTTGTCTTCGTGGTACCATGATTTAGTGTATAAATTAATGGGTGTAATAAAATTTTTTCAAAACACCATGTCATTTTTCACAATTCCCACAGAAAATTTGTTTCATATAAGAAACAAGCTTATCCAAATTAACGCATTTTAGAAACAAGTTCGAAGTATCAAATCCGAAAATAGCTCTCAAAATAGTTTTATAAAGGAACATTAAATGCATGGTCTCGTGTTCTAAGAAAATTTCTTTAGACAATGGATATAAAACCTCAATAATGCCAAACATTAGTTATTATTTATATAAAATATGCCACTCGTTATACGTAAGTATTTATGATATAAAGTTATTTTTATATTTATACTAGCTGGTCTGATCTGCGTTGCCTGCCAGTAGTTTTTGTCTATTGTGCAGATCTTTCAAAACATAATTATTCACAGATATGGCTGATATACGCCGTGGACTTCAATGTTAGAGTTAGGGACCTAAATGTGTGGTGTGCTATACAAATCCATTATAAATATATATATCAACCTTACCCCCATGTAAGGGCTCAACTTAATTTGTAGTATTGTGTTAGCAAAATTTTCCAGTCAAATGAGCAATAATTTGGAATTTGCTGTGTTTTGAACACCTCATTATTGAGGGCAGAATGATTTAAGAACAGCCAAGGTTAACTACTCTTTTACACCCATTACCATAGCACCTCAAACTGTGCGTTAGAGGGTCCCCACACAATGTCCGTCTGTTTGTCCGCCAAAGGGTTAGACATCGGCGGACCTGGGGGATACTGTTATATGGTGAAAATACATAAAATGTGTACCTATGTTGAAATTTTTGTGTAAGATTTTCATCCCCCAAAATAGCCTGAATACACATTTTTATTCTTTGAAATATGTGGTGAAGACCTTCGAAATGGTAAAATCAGGAGGTACCTTTATATGGGCACTACTCCGAAACATCGCCACAACATTGAAAACTTTCTTCTACCCCGTTATAATTCAAGATAACAAATAAGGGCCAAATCAAAAATTTGCTGAAATTAGTTTGAGAAATAGGGCTAAAATAAAAAATACTTGAAGCACAAAATCCATATTTGATACAATGGTTTTATATGTAAACCATAGGACTATATCAAATTTGCAATTCCATCGTAAATTCTGCGAAGTATATAATAAAATAATTGAGGCCCTTTGTGTATGTTTAAGGTTATACATAATGGGCTCTAAGGTTATACATAATGGGCTCTAAAAAATTGACCGGGGAACTCAAAACACCTTCTGGGATTTTGATCTACGAACCGAACTTTATCCTTTTCTGCCAAGAGAAAATTTCGAATTTGTCTGAATCGTTAAAATCAGACCAGTGGTTCTTGAGTTATAAGCGTAGTAACTAACACAACTTCTTTTTATATGTATAGATTAAAAATTGATTTATAAAAGTTTTCTTTGCCTTTTTCATATTGACAGCTTGGAATTGAAAACGTTGAGTAAAATATTATTCAAATTTGTAAAATTGTTGAAAAATGCATATTTAACAACCTCCGACTGATGTAGTATAAGAAAACATAAAAAAATCTGCTCATTATTGAAGTAAAACCCTCCACCTTGGAAAGGAGGATGTATTTAATTTGTCATTCCGTGTGTAACACCTTTAAACGTCCGTCGTACGTGTACAAATAATGCAAAAAGTAATCGAACCACATTCAATAAATTCAGTAAAGTTTGCTCTAATATTTATGTACTAATTATTGAAACATCGAACACACCTAGTGTTAATACCGTCCTTAATAGTCTTGTCTTACTGTTAAAATTTCTTCGCTGGGAATTAATTACAGAATTACCCCAAAATTCGACTACCACACAAGTTAAACACATGTATTTATACGAATGTTACCAAAATTTCAAAGTTTAACAATTTCTTGAACAGTTTTTAAATTTTTGTATAAAAACAGAATTGAATAATACAAAATAATCCTAATCTTTGTAATTAAAAATAGGACAATTGAGTGAATTTTAAAAATTATCAATTTAAATTTTTGTTCTATGAAAATGTGAAATGAAAATTTTTTTTAAAGGAAAGAAATGTCAAATGAAAAATTGTATAAAGGAAATATTTTTCATTTCATATTTTCATAGAACAAGAATCCACCCCCTGGCGTATAAATTTACTAACATTAGCTCTGTTCCTTTGCGTGCAAGAGTCTGCAACTTTTACCAATTGTTGTACCTTTTCAATAGATACCAGTTCCCTAACTCGAAAAAGTTGTAAATCGTCCAGGCAAATGGAAGAAAATACAAACAAATGACGTAATTTTACGCATTTGCTACACAAATTTCGCAGACTAAAAGCTTCTCATTGGTATATTGTATATATTGGATTTGCCTCCTAATTTTGAAATTTTTGCTAGTTTTCGAATTCATTACTTTTTGGGTAAACGAGTTCTTTCAGAGTGAGTTTCAATATTCTTTTATTAGATTTAAAAAGGATAACTTTAATTTTATTCGAAGTTCTGAAATTTCTATACTTTGCCACACATTGTATTTAAATTGTTCTGATTAAAAAGATAATACTGTAAACACATTAGCTAACAGATTCGATTATTTGATTCTCTTTCTTTTATGAATTGGTATATATGTAGGTAACAAAAGAACGAAACGTTCGCACAGTTTGATACTCTCAGACATTCTCCCAAAGAGAAAAGCATTCGTTTATTTACCCCCCACCCACACACCGACATTAGCTTACGTTTTCTTTTACCACACTTTCGGTTTGGTGTCAACGAAAAACAGCTGATATAAGAACCTGAATAACCAAAACAATTTAGGAGCAAAAACAAACCCTTTATAAACACTCCAACGAAAAGTCCCTCTGCGCCACCCGCCCTCTCCCAAGAACCACACCAACTCGTTGCGTTTTCATGTTGCACTGTAGCCAGAGAATTTGGGAAAAACGGAAAATACGATAAACAACAGCAGTGAAAGAGCCAAAGCCATAAAATCAAATACATTCAAACAAAAAGAGCAGAAAGAAATGCCCACATCCACAAACACAGCCATCCATCCGTCCGTACACTGGTCTGAACTGTTTGTCGAACGACTTTTCAAACGCTTGCGAGCACACAGCAAATTAGTCTAAAGAGAAATATCGACACGAAAAGTAAGTCGCCTCCTTGTGGGCCATAGTGAAACGGGTGTCTGTGTGAAATCCAAGTGAAGTGAAATCTATATGTATACCTAGAAATCATGGAAAACGTGGAAAATCCATACAAATAATCACACGAACCGGAGTGTAGTGCGTCCACGTTACACGTGTGCAAATAATCGAAATTGATTTCGCTGTGAATTGATCTGAAAATCCTTTTTTTGCTGGACGAAAATTCAATATTTCAAATTTTCTATCAAAGATTATGTGAATTTAGAAAATTTTCACCATCCCAGGCCACTGCGAGTGTTATTTTTGGCATGGTGCGAGCTGATCGGCCAGTATTCGGCGGTCGGAGCGTCTAAATATAAACACACGAATAGCTCGCGCTGAAGCAGACATTTCATATGGCAACGAAGAAAGTCTAGTGAAAAACTTGTTGAAACACATTCGAATCTATTTGAAATAAATTGAAAAAAAAAACCAAAAGTAGTACAAAAACAAAACAGCTTATAAAAGATTTTGTGTGAACCAAAAGTATGTGGTATCTAGCCCTAGTTGCTGTGCTGAACTTTCAACAAAGAATCGGACCCCTGGATTACTGGTTCTTTGTGAAAGTTTATCGGCAAAAAACAAAAAGAATACAAAAACGGTGAAATCACTTACACAAGGCCAATAAGGACAACAGCAAAAGTGCCATAATATTTGACGGTTTACGTTTTGCCAATAACTTCGCGTCCTCTGAATGTATGTTACGAATAGCAATAACATAAAGGACATACAAACCATAAGGGAAGAAAAATAGATACTTCATTCTCTCTCTCCGTTTCGTTACGACTTTCACCAGCATTTTAATGGAGAGAACTCCCAAAAGAGTGCGAGAGAGTTACGTTCGTCATTTACCGGCATACAGTTTGAGAGTAACTGGCATACAATAGGCAAATGCAAGGTTCAAAGTGTCACCAAATTAATTCTATGTGGCCAGCACAAATCCATCAATTGTTCAGCATTTAAAGAACAAGTGCTGACATTTATTTTTAAATCACAAATCAGCTTTTTTTCGCCTCGCCGAATATCCTCTTCAACCACCAAAAGTGTTGAGTATTCTTAAAAATATATATATGTGCATAACTACCTACAATTTTTTGTGAACATTTTTGTCTGTCACCGACAGCTAACTGTGAAATGAAAGAAATAGGCAAACCCATTCGTTCTCTGGTATTTATTATTCAATATTGTCTAAAAATGTGCTCACAGTTAAGGCTAAAGCAAATGTTGCTGTGCGTTTACGTCAGATATTCCTACTTGTACAGGCGCACATATGAGAGTACATACATTTCTATGTATCTTCTTCCTACACAGCATGAACGCCGAAAATCTCAAACAAAACATATTGCTAGACATTGTAGGTGTCTGTCTTGGATTTTGATTCGCAAAACATAGGGGATATGTGATTACCACATGGAAAAACAGGCATACATGGCTACAAAGCATTCTATGAGTCTTAAAGTCTTCAAAGACCTAATTTGGACTGGCCTGAATTGGCATTAATGCACAAACATTAAAATATGTCCACTATATTAATCAGCGTTAAAGTGCATTAAGCAGAGATATAAGAAGAATTTATATCGCAGCAGAAGTTCTTCAAATACCAAAGTCATCTCATTTCATAATCCATGTCCATTTACCAGGGATTATTCTTGCCCCACGTGCATATGCATCTTCTAAGGATATAATCAATATTCGGGCGGAGGTGGTAAGAAGTATTGTGCATTTTGTGAGAAACTGCTTATACTTGTTGTGTATTCGACTATTTGTTTCGATATTAACTAACATTCCGCACGAAAAAGAATAGCTTTACAATTTCCACCATAGGTTAAAATCAGAGTTTCGGATTCGGGCTTTTGCTAATATTTCAGTACATATATAGATCCCAACTGCGGGTAATAATATTTGTTACTCCTAATTTTTTTACGCCAACATGCAGTATCTATCTGGAGGCAAAGGAGAAGTAGAAACTATTGGTCTTTTTTTTGGCGAAATGTTTTGACGAAATCCTAATCAGTTCTCATGAAACTCTCTGTAACTCGGTAACCCGGTCGGTAGTTTTAGTCTTTAGTGCATATTTTTAAGGCATAAAAATTCACACATCTGGCTCATATAAGTGGCACAATTATTATTATAAATAATGACCCGACTAAATAAAAATAATAATCACGCATGAGAAAAATGCCAATACATGTTCACAAACCGGTCGTGACCTAAATAATATAGTACATCTATTAAAAAGTATATATCAGCTGTTTGTGATAGTCCCATGTAAGAGCTCAGCTCAATTTTTAGCAATGTAAAGAGCTTAGAAAATCGTGCCGCGTGGTATTTAATCTTGTCCACCTCAGAGAGCAGAATGATTTTAAAATATGCCACTTTATTTACTCTTAGCACCCTAAATTGTTCCGTCATTATTATGTGGGCAATATTCCAAAATATATATCCATGTTTAAATTTTTCTGTAAGATGGTTCAATGTAGCCTAAATACACATTTTTAGTCAAATCGATTGAAAAATGTGGTCAAGACCCTCGAAAAAGGTAAAATCAGGAACTACCTTTATATGGACGCTACTCCGAAACATTGACCTACATTGAACATTTTCTGCGAACAGCTTGGTTTCTTCTCCCTTTGAAGCCAAGATGTCAAAAAAAGGCTAAACTAATTTAAAAATTTGGCCAAGAATTCGGAAATAGCTGAAATCAGGGAATTCCTTCATATGGGGGGAATATATTCCTTCATATAAGTGGGTCTATACTTATAATTTTTTATACCCTCCACCATATCGTATCTCATCGAAATAATAATGTTAGACCTAACAAAGTATATACATTCTTGATCAGCGTAAAATTCTAAGACGATTTAGCCCTTTCCGTCCGTTCGTCTGTACGTCCATCCGTCTGTGGTAATCACGCTAAAGTCAAAACGAATTAAGATAGGAAGCTAAAATTTTCCACAGATCAGTTTATTCAAGTTCAAGTCAAGTTCTAAGATGGGCTATATAGGTACACGACATTGTATATCCCCCATATAACGGCACCTTTCGATTTTCGGTATTTTGATGATTTTAGCCACATTTTTCAATGTAATTGTCTAATTCACACAAGGAGTTCCTTGTGAGAACTTTATCCCCTGGAAGAGAATTGTCTATATAGGTCTACGATATCGTATAGCCCCCATATAACGGTACCCCCGATGTTGGGTATTTTGATGATTTGAACCACATTTTTAAATGGAATTGTCTGAAATTCTACACAAGGATTTCTCTGTGAGTACTTTATCTCCTGGAAGAGAATTGTCTCTATAGATCTACGTTTTGGTACAGTAACCATATAACGCTACCCCGAGATATTCGGTATTTCTAAGATTTTCGCAACATTATTCACCGGAATTGCATAAAATTTCGTATTTGAAGTCCGGAATCGGTACTATAGCCTATGAAGGAATATTACTTATCCAGCATCACGTCTTTGCACCCATATAAAGGTTTTTATTAAATCGTTATTTTTTTGACATTTTTTAGTTCTTTCCGAATGGTACTTGTTTAAATTGATGTTTTCTTCTTTCTACATACCCAAATTACCAAAAGCTGTCTAAATTAGTTTAAAAAATATGGAGCTATAAGCTATACCAAAACGTAGACCGACATTGTCCATGTTTTGTACAAATGTTACCACGTGGAACTCATAGGCCTGTAACAAATTTAAAACTCTATCTTTAATTTTGCGAAGTATAGAGAAAAATAGTTTAGGCTCTTTGTGCATGGTTGACACTATAAAATGAGCCCCAAAAAAGTTTGGCCTGGGCACCCTAAACCCTTTTGGGATTTTGACCTACTGACCGTCCGTCTGTCTGTCCATGTATTTTTGTAAATAAAGTACAGGTCGCATTTATTGCCCGATCAAGATAAAATTTTACAAAAAACTTTTGTTTGGTTCAAGGACGAACCCTATTGAAATTGGTGATATTCGGCCTAAAATTAGATATAGCTCCCATCTTCGCCCGGTTTGCCTTTTATTGTGCACCAAATGTGTAATATTAGTCCAAATAGGATAACATTTGGCATATACAACCAAAATTGGTGGAAATCGGTTCAGATATAACTTTATATTTGGATATATCTCCTATATTTATCTTTACCCAATTTCATGTTTATTGTGTCTAAAAAGTGCAAAATCAACTCAAATGGATGGATTTTACTGTATAATACGCAAAAAAAAACGATCATATTTGGCGTGTTTTAATTTTCATAAATAAAAAGCGTTTATTTATTATATGTAGCTCTACTATGTATGCAAACAAAGACCTACAATGGTAAAGACTAGACAAAATGCATTCTTAACAAATGGTTTGTGTCTACACTATCTAGAATAACAGCTTATGACAGTGGCATGTTAATTTAAAAAACACAATTATAGAAAACAATGACAAATAATAGTTTGAATAATCCAAAATTTTGGTTTCAAAATTCAATTCCATAGACTTTCCCAAATAATTGCATATCGCCTTAGCGGTTTAAATTACCTAACATTGGTAACTATGTTGTTCCGATATCATAACAACAGAGGTATTTACACCTGGTGACAATATTTTGACTCTGTCTTGTCCCATCTTTATACTTCTCTGTCTTTGATGCAAAGTGGTGTAGGGTATCGTAAAGTCGGCCTAGTCCGTTTTTGGCCTTTCTCTACTGTTTCTTACTAAATTTCCAATTGCCCTTTCGTTATTTTGAATATTACAGTAACAATTTCTAATGAACGGCGCAATAAACCTAAATTAGCTATAAATTGGTCATTCAGGTTCTTAGTTCTCTGTTCAAACTGTTTAACCCTTTGGTACAGCTAGATCCAGGACTTGAAATAGGTTAAAGGTCCTTGATATATTACGAAGAGTTCGCCACGAATAGAAAACTATTTCGTAATTTCACAGGTGTGAGCTTGTTGCTGAGTAAATTTAAAACAAGTG